AATGAGGAAAAATGAAAATGGTTATATTAATGAGGGTGGGGTCATTCTTTTAAAAATGTGATTTTTTGTGTGTGTTATCAGTAAATAAAACCTAGAAGAAAAAATAACCAACCCGTTTCTTTAAAAATTGTTCTAAGGCAAATTCAAGAATTGTGTGTCACCAAGGATTGGAATGGACAATGGAGTACAGAGATGGAAATGAAAATGCATGGGTTATATATATTTACATTCTATTAATATTTTGACCAAGCCAATAAGCCAGAAAATATTAAGCTCCATATAGCTTGCTCTATTAGAGTCTTAGAGAATCTCTCTGGGCTTGAATCTCCTTCCTTCTCCCCAACATCTGCCTGGGTTATAGGCAAGGTTCAATTAGAGGTTGGAGACAAATAAGCTTGTCTCCATTAACTCAACCCACAGAAAAACTATTTAAAATTCAAATTCACAATTAGCATTCTTCCATCAGGAAATATATAGTAACTAGTTCTGGATCAATCTCAGTCTAGTCCCAATACAGAAGTGGTGTATAAGAGTTTTTGGATGGTTTTGGTTTTTTTTTAAGATTCAGGGCCTGTTCTTAAGAAACTGACAAGAGAAGCACAACAAAAACACAAAGTAGCTCAGCTGATTTTCAACTAAGATGCCAACTCAATCTAATTGAGAAAGGAAGGTTTTTTTAACCTGTGTTGCTGCAAAAACTAGATATATGTATGGGGGAAAAAACAAACCTAAACCTCTGTAACACACAAATTAGAAATGGATTATAGGCTCATATGAAAAACATAGAATAATAAAGCTTCTAGAAGAAAAAAGACTATCTTTGGGTGTAGGTAAAAATTTCTTGGTCAGGACACATAAAAACACTAACCATAAAATTTAAAAATTGATAAAATGGACTTCATAAAAATTAAGCATGCCTGCTCATTACAGCATCATTGAGAAAATAAGACAAGTAACAGATTGGGTAAAAAAAAATATTGCCAACACATATATCTGACAAATGACATTTACCCAGAACATAAAAAGAACTCTTACAAACAATAAAAAGATGAATGAGCCCATGAAAGAATAGGCAAAAGTCTTGAACAAATACTTCACAAAAGAAGATATTGTATGGCCAATTAGCATATGATAAAGCATTTGACACCCTCAATCATCAGGAAAATACAAATTAAAACCATAATGAGATACCACTGTATATCCTCCAATGTGACTAAAGTTTTTTTAAAAAGCTGGCAACACTAAAAATATGGAACTGGAACCTGTATATAAGCCACTTTGGAGAAGTGTTTGGTTTTAATAAAGTTTTTAAATCAAGTTAAACATACATACACTCCATGATTCAGTAATTCTACACCTATGTATTTATCAAGAGAAATGAAAAACATATGTTCACAAGAGACTTATAAAAAGAATGCTCATAACAACCTGTTCATAATTGCCCAAACCTAGAAATAAACCAAATATCCATCAAGAGAAAAACAGATAAAAAATTGGGATGTATTCATACAATGGAATACTACTCGGCAATTTAAAAGACAAACCACTAAAATGTGCAACACAAATCAATCTTAAAAACATTGTTCCATGAAAGAAACCAGGCAGAAAAAGCACATACTGTATGATTCCATTTATGTTAAGTCCAAGACTAGGCAAAACAAATCTATGGTGTCAGAAATCTACGGAGTCAGAAAGTGTTCCCTTTGGAGGAGGGTGGGTGAGGGAATTTTCTAGGGTAATTAAAAAAATGTTTTCTATCTTGTTTTGTTAGAAATTACAGTATATAAAACTGTCAGGAATCCTTGAACTGGATACTTAAGATATGAGAATTTTATTGAATATTAACTATACCTCAATAAAAAATATAATGTAGCACTCTGCTTCAAAATAGGTTAATAACAGGTTAATATTTTGTAGGTTAATATAGGTTAATAATTTTCAAATGAAATTCCTGAATACCACATGTATTTTCAATAATTTGCCACTGGATTATTCATACCTCTATTCCTTCATTACTGCAAATAACTTAATGGATTACAGACACAGATATGAGAACATATGTTCATATATTTAATTTTTCATAAGTAGCAAATTGAATGACTCTTTACAATTTTAATATGTACATAATGAACCAGTTATAGGTCCAGTAGAATTTTCTATTTTTTGTACCATTTTTCTTTCAATATTATTTTATATTTGTGATTTTGAAGGATCTGATCTATGAAACTGAGAAGGTATATAAATCAAATGTCAGCCAGGAAGGTTAATGAGCCACTCTTGCAGCCTAGAGAATAATGCCCTCTTCAACTATTCAAGAGAAAGCACACACATATTTCAGAGCAACTGAAAAGCATGAAGAATAGTTTGCCAACTATAACACAGCCTAAATATCAGTGAACTGATCAGGCTGACACCAGAAAATTTACTAAAAGTCCTTTTTTTCCTACTGTTTTACAGGATCCTTCTGTTTTCTTTCCTCTTTATCTTTTCCTCTCCCTCTGTTTGTCTCTATCCAGGTATATTTTTATCCCCACAGCCTCTCACCCTCCCTGTGATATTATTCAGATCTGATTTTCTTTTTTTCTTTTTGAGACAGGGTCTCGCTATGTTGGCCAGGCTGACCTTAGCCTCTCAAGTAGCTAGGACTATAGGTAACTGCCACCATGCCTAACTCTAATTGATTTTCATGTGCTCAGCTCAGCTCACCTCACCTCACCTCCCAAAAAATTTACAAACTTGAACTGTATTCTATGTAGATACCTCACATATACTCAAATAGTACAGCGAATATAGCCTGGGGGAATAGGGATGGCCAATGCATGGAAAAAAGGATTGACTTCATTTGTTCCCCACCCCTACAAGTGGAGATGTTTCCTGAACACCTACCACATGTTTTTATTCTGTACAGATGGCTCTTACGAGTGCTGTGAACTATAAATAAGTACACATGTCTAATCCCAAACAGAGTAAGCTCTTAGACAGCACCTATGTCTTATACAAATTCACCAGGCGCCTAAGACCGTGCCTTGTACAGGGGCACATACTTGTTGAATTAGTGAATTATTGAATTAATGCAAATGAAAACTGAGGGTGGAAGAGGAGAAAAAGAAAACGCTAAGATACACCAAAGAGAAAGAAGCAACTGTTTTTGTTAGAGTGAACAAGATTACAGTATTTTTAAAAACTGAGAGTTGGAAAAGCCATCGATATGTATCTAATATCAATTATCAGCAGCAGTGTTTAAAGAAAGTGTTATTGTAAACACCTGAAAACATCTTTAAAATTTTTTCCTCACTCTTGATATTCAAAGTGTGGTCTCTGCCAGTACTACCTACCAGACAAAGTTTAAAAACCACTGCCCTACACCATTCAGGTCCTTCCTGTGGTATTCAACCTGTGTTTTATTTATTATTTTTTTATTTTTTATTTTTAGACCTGAAAATGAGTTTCAATGTGTTTTATTTAAATACAACAGTAAATAATACTTGAAAAATCTTTGATTAGAATGAAACCAATAATTGTAATGGGATTTGACCAGCACATATTTAACTTCAGGTGAAGTTAATTACAGAGTAATTTGGCCTAATGGACATACCACAAAACTTGGAAATTAGTCATAAAAACATATGATTAAAGAAAATTGAGCAGTAGGTTCTCAAGAACTCATTTTTGTTCCTTCATGCCTAGCACAGGGCTTGGGATGATTCATGTGGCCAATGTTTCTTGAATGAATAAAATAAATAAATTTTTAAAAATCAGTTATTTAGGGCTGGAATAATCTTAGGATAATCTGGTGCAAGGACCTCATTTTAAAGATGAGCAAACAAGAAAATCTGATACATGAAAAAACAAGAAAGCTAAAAGAGCTAGAATATATTGGAACTCACATTTTAATTCCCTTTTTGTTCCTTTTATGGGGATTCTAACTTTATGATTGCTGGCTCTTACAAAATGTAGGGTAAAAATGTGCTTAGAGACTAACAAGGATAAATGAGCCTGGGCAAAATTATTTTTCTAAGCCTAATATATTTCTGACAGGCCAATCAATCAACCAATTTAATCTGCCAAAAAATTAATCTGAAGGATTCTCAGAAAAAGAGACCTGTGCTGCATGAAAATGTTACAAACCAAGAGAGACCGCACGTAACTAACTTAAATCTCCACAGGCTAATTTCCTGTTGAAGTATGACCTCTTGGGATAAGTTTTCCTGCAGTGTGCATTCCTAGATGACTTTTGGTTTTAAGAGAAGCCAAGGGCAAGTTGGAAATGCGATTCTTAACGCTGAAAAGAAACAAACTGTAGCCGCTTCCCATTTCTGTTTGTAATCAGAAAGCAACCCTTGCAGAGGAAACACACCAACCTCTGTAAGCAAAAATATAACGACCCAGTCACGTCCTCAAAACAAACCAACACACAAACTTCACAGCCGGATCCAGCTGTGCTGCCTAGGAGCCAGGAATTTATTCTAAGGCAGAGCAGATAGCTCAAAACGGCGAACGCAAGAGGACTCAGATTTCAATCACAAAATGGGTGTACCCTAAGTTTTTCCTTCCCTCAACTTTCAACTAGCAGAAGTCTTTGAAGGAGTCTTGGTAGAAAAAAAAAAGAAAACTTTAAGATGATCGTCCCCGAGCTACGCCTGGGTGGGGTGGAGGGAGCTGGCGCGGCCGCAGCAGGAGCCGGCTCCGCGGGAGGGGAAGGGGCCGGTCCCGAACCTGGGGAGGCTGGGCCCCCGAGTGATTCATCGGCAGCTCCGGGTCTGCGCGCCTCGACCGACCGGTGGGCGACGCCCAGCGCGCCTCAAGGCCCCCGGCCGGGCCGGTTCGCCCCGAAGCATCCCTCAGAATCCTCTTGCTCCCCGAGAGGGGCCCGTAGGCAAGGAGACCGGAGCGGGGCGGCTGCAAGGCAGCAACCGCTCCCTTTTCAACCACCATGGCCGGTGCGCCTCCCTGCCTGCGCCCGCAGACGGACTTCCTGGAAAGCACCCGGCTGGGCTTACCTGACTAGCGCCTGCTCGGGCCGCCGACCTCTTCACTGACCCGCTGGAACTGCCGGCTGCAAGCCGAGGCTCGGTCCCCAGCACCCGCCCGTCAGCCTCCGTCGGCCTTCCAGGGAGCTGCCCAGTTGCCCCGCCAGCGACTCCCCCACACGACCGCACTGTCGGAGCGGCTGGCTCCGCCTCCGCCGCCTACGCGCATGCGCGCGCCCAGGCCGCGGGGCATCCCGGGAGTTGTAGTTCGAGCGAGGAGGGCGCGGCTCGACACAAACGCTGGTCTTTACTGTGGGCAGAAGCCAGCCTGAGGCAAAGCTCGCTGCTCGTGGACATACCTACCCTTGATCCTCTGGAAGCTACAAATCGCATCTACAGGCTCTTTGGTATAGATTTCCTTTTTACGCTGACCTTTTGTAAAGAGGCATACACGGCTGGACTTGCATTGTACCCTTCCTTGGTTGCTAATGCGAGGACATTGACATTGAGCCCCTTAAACTTGTCATGAAAAACTGACAGAAAAGTAAACGAACAAAAGCTAAGGCTCAAGAGGGGCATAATGTCATCTCGAGGGTACGGTGACCCTAGTAGTTTTCTAACGTATACAACCAGGGATGATGTCGGAACTGTTGTCCCCATCTTCCCCTGCTGTTTCTGCCCTATTCCGGCCTCAAGCTTCACACAGGCTGTGGGGCTGGGCTGATGTTAAGTGGGAGAAAAAAATAGAAGTGGCTGCTCAAAAGATAGGACTGGAGCAAATGGGTAGTTTGGAGAGGAAGACGAAGAGCGTAGGAATATCTCAGACGACTGTTTGACAGTGGCCTAGGTAATGGCTGACTTTTGTACAGGACTCTGAGAAAGAGGGAACAGCAATGTCCTTCCATTCAGTCACTCACTGGTAATTTTCCTGGCCTGCTCCTCAGGAGTAGACCATCCTCAAGAGTAATGCTCAGCTCTGAGAGATCTTTCAAAAATGCAGCCAAGGAAGTAGACTGTAGTGCCTGCTTGAAGTACATTCCAGTATGGGAGCCGCCTAATGGTTAAACCTCTCCTGGCATCTAACTGATTCACCTCAGAGCAGGGAGCACCCTAGTTAAATAAACACCCTGGAATTTAATGCAACTGGCACCCACTAGATCACTGATAATTTGGGTTTTTAAAGGGGGAAAAAAAAAACACCTTCTAAATTGCAAATTGTCTTAGAAGACAGTCAACATTCAATCTTGCAGTCATTGCATCTTATCTTCTATTGCATCTTTGTGTGAAGCAATTTCTCAAATGTTCTTAGAGATAAAAGCATTTATCTTCAAGATAAATTTCTGAGAGCAATTTCCAACAGAATTCAGGTTCAACTAATATTTATTGCATCACATCCATAATCCATAATCATAATACATACCGAGCACTGTGCCAGCATTTCATTTATAATATCTCATCCAATTCTCAAAATAACACTACAAAGACTAATTTACTACTCTCCATTTCTACAGAGGAAAAAACTAAGAAAAGTTAAGTGGTTTGCACAAAGTTGCACAGCCAGTAATTGGAGATCCAGAAATGAGGCATAAGTATCCTAACTCAAATTTTAACATGCTTTCCACTGCTGATCAGACTGATGTGTCTCTTAAATATCATCAAATTAATTAAAGTAAGAGAATCCATGACCATGTCCAAGGTATAAAAAACATTCTTTTTTATCTGAATTTTTTTTTTTTTTTTGAGACAGAGTCTCGCCTTTGTTGTTCCAGGCTAGAGTGAGTGCCGTGGCGTCAGCCTAGCTCACAGCAACCTCAAACTCCTGGCTCGAGTGATCCTTCTGCCTCAGCCTCCCAGTAGCTGGGGACTACAGGCATGTGCCACCCATGCCCGTCTATTTTTTATAATATACATAATCAGTTGGCAATTGATTTCTTCTATTATAGTAGAGACAGGGTCTCGCTCTTGCTCAGGCTGTTTTGAACTCCTGACCTTGAGCAATCCGCCCGCTCGGCCTCCAAGAGCTAGGATTACAGGCGTGAGCCACAGCGCCCGGCCTTATCTGAATTTTGAGTATTAAGTAAATCTTTTTTTGTTTATTTCTGTGTTTTGTTTTCTTTTAGTAAATCTTAAATTTAAAGCAGTTGGGCCAGGCGTGGGAAGCCTCTGGGAAGCCGAGGCGGGCAGATTGCTCGAGGTCAGGAGTTCGAAACCAGCCTGAGAGAGACCCTGTCTCTACTAAAAATAGAAAGAAATTAATTGACCAACTAAAAATATATATACAAAAAATTAGCTGGGCATGGTGGCGTATGCCTGTAGTCCCAGCTACTTGGGAGGCTGAGGCAGTAGGATCACTTGAGCCCAGGAAACTGAGGTTGCTGTGAGTTAGGCTGATGCCACGGCACTCACTCTAGCCTGGGCGACAAAGTGAGACTCTGTCTCAAAAAAAAAAAAAAAATTTAAAGCAATTGAGGTTAAATGTTCTCAAAGCAATGTAAACTATTTATAAATGTCTTATCAAAGATATCAGCAGCTCTTTTGAGTCACATGAATTAACAATGAGTAAATGATCATCAGTTATACTGTATACAAAGGGTATAACACATTTGTGTCTCATATCTAGTATCAAAGCCATCTTCATATATTCCTTTTATAAGAAAACTGATACGTATGCTTCATTAATCTCAGGCTCAATTCCTTTTTGTAAGCATGTTTTTACTGGCTATATATGGTATATGCATTGAATTTCCAGAGACTTGAGATAAATATGGATCAAAGACCTACGCAAATAAAAATTACAAACACTCACATAAATTACAAGAGATACGAGGTGATAGTTTACGAATATGGATTTACTATTCTATAACTTCATTTCAAATAACTGTTCCTAAAAATGTCTCCTAGCTTAAAGTCCAGGCAAAAATCCAACTTTAAAATTTCATTTTTGGCTGGGCACAGTGGCTCAGGCCTGTAATCCTAGCGCTCTGGGAGGCTGAGGCAGAAGGACTGCTTGAGGTCAGGAGTTCAAAGCCAGCCTGAGCAAGAGCGAGGCCCTGTCTCTACTAAAAATTAGCCCAGCGTGGTGGTGCATGCCTGTAATCCCAGCTACTAAGGAGGCTGAGGCAGGAGCCCAGGAGTTAGAGGTTGCTGTGAGCTAGGCTGACACCACAGCATTCTAGCCCAGTGACAGAGAGACTCTGTCCCAAAAAAAAAAAAAAAATTCATTCTCAACCATTGAAAAGTAGAGCCTTTGGAATAAAAAAAAACTTCCCTAACAGTCTGGAGGAGCTGGTACTCTGGATGGATGAGACGAATGTTTAGATTGCTTTATAATTCTATATATCCTATAAATGTACGTAACTTATTCTGGCTTATTAGCAAGCCTTTTGTGAATCCCTGCTACACCTCTGGGACATCACTCCTGGGGAAACTGACAAAATGGAGTTCCTAAACAAGTAAAGCAGAGGACCATGGCCATGCAGACATGGTTTATTTCAAGAAGGACTTTCCTCTGCAATATGGTTTCTTTTTCTTTGTTCTTTAGTCAGTGTCAGACTGATTTAATCTATGGCACTCTTTTCCCCTGAACTTCTAATATGGGGTGTTAGGCATACCTTAAATGTATTTTCTTTTTTAGCTATTCATTTTAAGTTTTTCCTAACAAACATGCATCCTATTTTATTTAGTTCCTTTCTCTAAAATAATGCAATTTGGTGATGGATTTTTTCCCTTTCTTCAGACAAATGTTATCATATTGTAATCAGAAGGCTTACTTATATGAATCTCTTAAATCCATGTACATTAAATATCACGTATGGGGCCAGATGTGTTAAGAATAATATCCTATTGTCGGATAAAGCTGTAAGAACTAGAACCTTCCTCACTGCTTCCACCCCCTTGCTACAATCTATTCTTTGTATCAGCAGCCAGAATGATCTTTTAAAAACAAATCAGATCATGTCATCTTTCTGCTCCAAACTACTCATGGCTTTCATCACATTTAGAATAAAATCCAAAGTTATTGCCCTGCAAGTCCTTACATGATTGTTTTATTTCCTACCACACACTCTCTGTCTCTAACTCTGCTCAATGATCACTGGTCTTCCTGAGGTTTTCTAATCCTGCCTATTAGATTCCCACTTTAAGTTCTTTGCATGACACAGGAGAATGCTTCTCCTCCCAGATACTCCCTGCTCATACTTTCATTTTACTGAAGGTTCTGCTGAAGTGTCACCTCTGAAAGGCCTTCTTCTCTGATCACCTTGCCTTGTCATTCTCCCCTTTCCTTACTTTACTTGTCTTCACAGCACTTGTTACTACCTAACATCATATGCTTGTTCACTTAGCCTAAGCTCAGTGAGGGCTTTGCTTTTACTCTTCCCTCTTTAGAATCTACAATACTGCCAGCAAACAGTAGCTATTCATTATATTGTATAAAAAATAAATGTTAGATTCCCTCCCTTCCTGCTCTCATCTTGGGACACAGAACCAGAGGGTTCACCTGTAAATGCCCACCAGTGACCTGATGCGGATGTAAACACCAGTTGTGGAAAGTTAACTACCAAGGAGAATAAGATCCTGGGAAACTCCTCCTGAAATGGAGACAGAGCTCTCTTTTTAAAAAGATCATACTTTTACGCCTGGTAATCCTAGCCTCTTGGAGTCCTGTGCGTGCGTATTTTTTTGCTCAAGTCAGGAGTTCAAAACCAGCCTGGCAAGAGCCGAGACCCCGCTCTCTACTATAAATAGAAAGAAATCAACTTGGCCAACTGAATATAATAAAAAATTAGCCGGGCATGGTGGCACATGCCACTGTAGTCCAGCTACCAGGGGGCTGGAGGCAGAAGGATCGCTCGAGCCCAGGAGTTTTGGGTTGCTGTGAGCTAGGCTGACGCCACGGGCACTCACTCTAGGCCTGGGCAACAAGCGAGACTCTGTCTCAAAAAAAAAAAAAAAAAAAAGATCATACTTTATGGGTTGCCATTATTAGCTTATAGTTAGAAAACACAATTCTTAGAGGGGAAAAAAGAGGAAAATCCTGAAAATTATATTTACATAAATAAAGGAAAAGGTAAAACCACTAAATACTTGTGGGAGATTTAAATATTATTCCCAGATATTTGCTGTCCTCTAGAGGAATAGACAGCCTTACTTACTGCTATGTGACTTGTAGTGCTACCCTGTAGGCATTTTCAGGCTTGGCTATGATCTAGTGATGAGTTTTTCCTTCT